GAGAACTTCTTAAGTGCTAGGAACTAAGCTTTGTAACCGATCTACTTCAAAGCTAGTGGAACAGTGGACTAGAGGAACGCGTTGTTCCTTGAACCACTATAAAAATATCTGGTGTCATTTAATTTACTGCAACTTATATTTCTGCACTTAGGACATTAACTGATTAACTCTAAGACTTGGAATCTGTGTTCAGCAGATCTTGTTTTCAGAGTTATCAGAAAGGCATTTGCCTTAGTGTTTCTGAGGCTACCCGGACAGATCAGAAACCGCTGCCAAGGCCAGTTCTGATATCAGAACCAGCCTTCCTCTGTTACCAGAGTAAGACCTTCTCTGATAAGTCAGTTTGGACTTAGAGAAAAATTTGAAAAACCAATCAGTCTATTCACCCCCCCCCCCCTCTAGACTGATTACCATTTAATCGGGACCAACAATGATGATGATGATGATGATGAGCATGACGACGTTGAGAGTGATGAGGAGATGGAGGACGCTGCACACGACGTTCCCTATGATGCACCCCCTACGTCAACACTTTTCCTGATACTTGGGCGGGGATGCATGTGCATCAGGATGTTGTGTATCATCAGATGTCTACTGAGCAGCACGAGCGGTTCGACCAGATGCGTTTTGAGCAACAGGACTTTTATCGCGAGATGCGGGAGGATAAGGCGATGCACTATGCACAGCTCCAGTCCCAGTACACACAGATTGATGAACAACTCACTTCTCTGGAGTCTAGATGGAGCTCATTCTTTGACGCATATCCGCCCCCGCCCCCCTCCTGAGTATTAGATCTGATTAGATTGTCCTCTGTTAGCCTTTGTATTTGATTTTGTTGGATGACTGTACCCTAAACACTCTCACACTCTCACTGTTACACTTAACTCTTTATATTGTTGTGCTTTGTTGTTTAATGATGTGTTGCGGCTCAAACGAATGCTTGGTGGATGATGTGCCGCGACATCAAAGACCCAGTTTAGTTCCAGACCGACCAACGCTTTAGGGAAGTTTCAATGACTCTTTTTACTCGCTGTGTAATGCTGACTTGAGTTAATTTTGAGCACGCGTGACCCTTTCCTCTCTACCCCTAGTGCATAGTGCATATTTGGTCATCGAGGGCGATGCCAAAGTTCAAGTGTGGGGGAGTGAATTGGGCATTCAGGCAGTAGTTGTTACATGTGATTAATTAGAGTTAGCATGCGCAAGTGTTAGTTGTATATTCATAGGAAAGTCGATCATGTCAAAATTTTTGAAATTTTTTCTTTAAACTGTGTCTTTGTGAGCTGGCTAGCGTTTTGACTATGCTTTTAGAACATCATTGAAGTGTTTAGGCTTAAATTGCTTGCACTATAATCTAGTTGTTGAAAGGATGAAAGCATTAGTCACCCATTGAATTTTTCATTAATCATCCACCCTACCTGAATAAGTCCTTTATGAGAAGCCACTTTGAGCTTGACCGTTCTTTGCTACCCAATTAATTGAGCTCCATAGCCAAATGGCCTGTTTCCTTACCCGTGAATATTTCTGGCTTAGTCTTGATGTTTAGGAAATTAAGGGATGAATTTGCTAAGTTTAGGGAATTTTGGGTAGGAGCCATTTTTGGCACTGTTCCTATGCTCCAAATAGGGGTAAGAGCAGTCATCTTTTAGGAAATTGGTACTTTCGAGGATTCCATTGTAGGCATGGATTCACTTTTAAATTAATGAACTTTAATTGCTATTTTTCCTTGGTGAGGCCGAGATTAGAATGAGGTAATGTCTAATGAGAATCCGAAAGGTGAAAAATTAATATAGCTAGACCTCTTACTTTGCGAAAAAGAGAATGGGAGCCCCGGTCAAAAAGCGTAAGATGAGACTTGGGTATCTTTCGAAAGAAACGGCGTTCTCGTGCCAACATGACAAGGGAAACTAAACTTAAATTAATGAACTCGGAGGCTATCTCGAAATTTAGCTTTAGTCCTCCGCGTACTTCAAGTATACGTCAAAGCACAAATGTGCCGAGACGGTTTAGCTTAGTTGTGCACCATGTCTACTCTTTGCATAGGTTTAAATGATTGTTCCTAAATTGTGGCCTATTGAGTTCCTTGTTCCTAAGAATAGCCCCGAAGTTCCTGAATACATTGAGTCTTTGTTATAATATTCCAATCTCTCAAAAGAAAGGGACTATCATTCTTATTCATGATCCATTCATTACCACCTTCACAAGTCATTCTGATCAATAACTAGTCTATTTGTGTATGATGTCACTACTTTGAGGATGTTGTGAATAATTTGTCAAATATTTTAGCTAGAGTACAAAGATATAGTTTAGGGAAGGATTTTCTTGGTTTAGACTGCATGTTCTGTGAATATCCCTTTAACTACGTATGCAAGCTCATTGTTTTAAATTCCGTGTGGTGATTATCGTAAGTCCCGTTGTTCGATTTGCTTGAGGACAAGCAAAAGCTTAAGTGTGGGGGAATCTGATAAGTCTGTATTTAAACACGCATTTGATGCGAGTTGGAGTCGGATTTTGATAGTTTTCCTAGCTTTAAGGCGTTGCAAGTCTCAATTTTAGCTCAAGTTGTGATTATCAGGCGTTGGATCGAGTTTCGTTGCAATTGGAGTTGAATTGAAGAAGTTAGAGTCCGGTAATCGGCGTTTGAGAGGCATTCGGGAAGGATTTGAAGGCATTAAGAGAAGATTTGAGAGATTTGGAGGTCACCGGGAGATTCACGACGAAATTCTGATGAAGAAAGAGCATTTGGATCGACCTCGTAGGCATCCGGGAGCATTTGGAGCAAGAAACGGCGAAAAAAGATGAAGAAAAGGTCAGGCACGACCGTGCCTGGGCAGGCACGATCGTGCCTGCATAGAGGATGGCACGGTGCCTTTCTGCCAGCCAGGCACGATCGTGTCCTGGCCAGGCACGATCGTGTCCTGGCCAGGCACGATCGTGCCTCCAACCGAGGCGCGCGCATGCTCCGCAGGCACGGTCCCAGGCACGATCGTGCATGGCGTCGTGCCTGGCCCCGTTTTGCCCTAACACAGCTCAAATTCTACTGTTTTCTATAAATAAAGCCTCCATACCCCTTTTTGAGGGTTACGAACTTTGTGGAGAGGCTTAGGACGAGTTTTACCTGCGTTTTTACGTTGTTTACTTCGAGAACCTGGGATTCTTTGTAAGTTCAATTCTTTTAATTAATGACAGTTTATTCTATTCTTCCCAATTCTGTTGATTCGTCAATTATGAATTGTGAGTAGTTTAATTAGGGATTTGGGGTTAATGAAGGGGTTAATCATGATTGAAGGCTAGATTCTCTTCGGTTTAATTACATGAATGTCGTTTAATTTGTGTTTGAATAATTTAACTAATATCTTTTGTAACTTAGAATCGCGACTAGAATTACAATTATATGTAGAATGAATTAAGAGATATCTAATTTGTTCTAGGACACATTCACACACACTTAATCGTTCGCTAAGAGATTAGTAGCGATTAAGGGGCCGTAAGCTCGCTCGTCTTGGCAATAATTTAGGATCTTGTCGCATGAGAGATCAGCCTGGTCCCCTAAATTATTGTACTCTGCGCCGCGAGAGCGGTAAGAACTTAGTAATGATTAGCTAGGCTCAATTAAATTAAATTCATGTAATTAGGCCTGTTCTGCCAGAAATCTGGTTAACCCCGGAATCAATTCATGTTCTCTTCGTCGTTAATTAAGGAAAACTCAATCTTTTTATTTGCTCATTAGCATTAGTTTTATTTTAGTCAATCAACCAATCTCGCACAATTGCATTTTATTTCATTTATTTCTTTTTTATCGCTGAATTTAGTTAATCTTTAATTCTCTTTTGTCCGTCCCTGTGGAGACGATGCTCGTACTTTCAATCACTTTTCTACAACCATTTTAAGTGCGAGAAAACACTCATCAGTCATTTTAACAAACATGTCATAAGCATTGTATGTTATATATTTTTTTTGAGAGAATGGAACATAGTAATTGGACTGAAATTTCAATAATTAGCACCACAGTATCTTACAATAGAACAAAATACTCAAAATTTTAATGACATAAGACACAAATCCGGAAAAATAAATAAATCCAAAAGATGCATAAGAAAAATCGGAATATATTATTTCCTCATTAATAATACTTTTGAGAAAAATTGTACATCATAGAGAGAATACTTCATCACATTCTTGTATACGGCAACTTGATTAGAAGATAGATGGGGAAATAGTGGACAAACAAGAAAAAGAGATGAAGAAAAGAAGCTTGGGAGGAGAAATGGAAGAAGAGTCGTAGATATGCAAGAAAGGGGCAGAGAAAGAGAGAGAAAGGGGTTGGGTGGGATTCTGGAAAGGGGTAAATCAAAGAAAAGAAAGGGTAAAAATAAATTAAGGGGCTTTTATATAGTGTACAATTTGTGTACAATATATGTACGGGAAAACTGTCAAATATGTCCTCGAACTTTCATAAAAAAGACAATTAAATCCTTCTATAGGAGACTCTGTCCAGTCGTTGTGATTTGGGGCGGTTCCCGGTGGAATTTTTTGATGAATTTTTTTGACCATCTTATTCATCAAGTCTAGTTTACTCATACCAAATTTCAGCTAAAAATTTAATTGGGAGCGCATTCAAATTAATTCGAGAACGCAAAAATGCGTAGTTTTCTTCAAGAATTAATTTGAATGTGTTCCTAATTGAATTTTTAGCTGAAATTTGGTATGAGTAAACTAGACTTGGTGAATAAGATGCTCAAAAAATTTCATCAAAAAATTCCACCGGGTTCTGTCCCAAATCGCGACGGCCGGACAGAACCTCCTATAGAAGGACTTAATTGACCTTTTTATGAAAATTCGATGACCTATTTGACAGTTTTCCATACAGTTAGCATTTTCGTTATAGGTATGGGGCCATGGGGGTGACATTTTCGTTGTTGAGCCTGTGGCAAGAGTGAAAGTAAATTCAGAGGTAAAAAGAAGAGCGGCTAGTAATTTTAAGTTCGTACACTAATGGAAACTACTCAGACATAATTTCTCTCTCATCCTCATCTATCTTTCTAACTGGTTTTTATTTTTACGCACTACTATTCTCCTTCCATTTCCTATTTCCCATCGGAAAACCCTAGTTTCAACTTGTAGCATCCTCCATTCCAAGTATGTTGATGGATAGAGATCAGGAGGTATTTCATCACCTTATTCGATTCTCGTTAATTACTTGAAACTATCGCTTAAGTATTTCGACTGTTTCATCCGCACCAAGGATTGTTTTGCTCACATGCTGTTAGCTCAATTGGATTTCAAATAAATCAAGCCCTTCCTTTTCCTGACTGCCTTGAATTGCTTTGTTTCATCGGTTACTTTGATCTTTGCAAGGTCCATATACCAAAACGCATGTTGTCTTCACGTTGCTCTTTATTGTCACTGTTGATCGTAAGGATTTATGAATCAGATTTCGGATTTGGGCTACCCTTTGATCATATTCAAAACTCCCAAGTAAAACTGTTCGTGCTGCTTTCTTAAAGTTTTTCTTTTGCAGGCAGGACTTTTGTTTTAGATTGTTGATAGTGTAATGCAGAGATAATGGAAGCTAATGGTTGTGATGATAATAACTTGGATACCGATGTGCTTCTGCCGCCAAGGAAGAGACTTCTAGCCGGATTGAAGAAACAGAACTGTGATATCAATCTACACTCCCCATCCTCATCATATGACATGGGCAATAATGTTACTGGTATTGAATTTGTCACCCGTCTAAATAAATTGTTGAGATCTCATTTGAGTAACAACAGTCTCTCAAATGAAGAGATCATTGAGGCCTCAAGAGTTGATGCCGCTGAAGCAGCTAAGGCTGCAAGAAATGCCAAAGCTTTTGCTGAAGAGAAAGCTGCAAAGGCAGCAAAAGCAATAATGGCCGCTAAGGCTGCTTTAGAATTAGTCTCCAATAGTGATGAAGAAGCCGCTAGTAGAAATAGTCAGTCAAAGAAGAACAAGATGAAGAAGCATGTTGCAGTTCATACATTGTACAATAAGAATAAAGCGGCTGGAAGTTGTATGTCGGATGAAGAACTGGCTAAGAAGTTGCATAGGGCCATAAACAGTTCCTCCAGAACTCGCAAGCAACACAAGAGGCTCAAAACTTTGCCACTCTGTGAAACATCTAAGGTTTCTTCTACTTCTATTGAAAGAATAATTCAAGCTGATAGATCAAAGATGGAAAATGGAGAAGGGTTACAAGTTAGTAAGTCGAACTTCATTGTGGTGGAAAGTGGGAAAGAAGTGGCAAATGACTTAAAGAAAGTAGATGAAGAATATGTGCACAATTTTGGTAGTGTTGGGAAAAAGAAAGGAAGGTTTAAACAGAAAAAGTTACCCCTTAGCATTTGTAATTTTAGAGATCAAGCAAGCCCCCAAGAAAAAGTGAAATCTAAAACTTCATGTCCAATTAGAGAGAATGTGATCATGGCCACTTCTACAGCGACTAACAATAAATCCTTATTTCCTGTTGAGAGAACGCCGACGTGGAAATGCCAAGCATTCAAGGAACCTACTACTTGCCTCAACCAAAATAATCCCATGCACTCATAGTATTTAGGTTTCTATTTCAAGAGGACCGCCTACCAAGGTGTAGTTTGATGTCAGAGGTAGTTACTGCTTATGCTTGCTTACTTTTCTTTCAAGGAAAATGCTAGGGGTACACAAGTTGTACACAAGTTGTACATACAATGTCGGTCACAGACAATTGGTACGGAGTTGCCTGTGACCACAGACAAGAGTTGTCTGTGTACACAGACAAATTTTGTCTGTCTGCACAGACATTTATTTTTTTGTAAAAAGTACTTGTCAATGTCAGGCGGCTCTCAGTGTACTTTTTACAAAAAAGTAAATGTCTGTGGAGACAGACAAAATTTGTCTGTGTACACAGACAACTCTTGTCTGTGGTCACAGGCAACTCCGTACCAATTGTCTGTGACCGACATTGTGTGTACAACTTGTGTACAACTTGTGTACCCCTAGCATTTTCCTTCTTTCAAGGACCCATTTGATACAAGTTAGTTCGCTGAATCTGTTGGATTCTCGTAATCGAAAAAATTTGGTAAACCAATTTTAGCCAAATACGTAAGACAGAAGATTCTTGCTATTTACTGATTAGCCTGCATATTCTTCTATTAAAAGAAGAGCAATCTTATGAATGGCACCAATTAGGGTTTAAATTGGTTGTCATTTTCTATTTCCCTCTGTTTTAGCATTCCAATATAATTTTAATGTTGTGGAACTTGCGTAGAGGCTTGGTTAAATGTATCAAATACGGAGTATTTGAGGTTTGGCTTGGTTTACCATGGTATCGTTCACTCAAACGAAATGGTGTCAGTCATTAAATGAAATCGCAGTTTGTGTCTAAATTTAACAATATTTTGCTTAAGCGTTATTACAAACATAGGACATCTACTTTCATTTAGTACCCTATACAAACCCATTATGGAAAAGTGTTAGGGTGAATTTCAAAAGGCCATATGAGTTTTTGGGGATTATATGATGAACAAGAGTAACTTTGAGCTATCTAAGAACCCTTGGGGGGTTGGGTGGGGAGTGGTTATTTACTTATTTTTAATCAAAAAAGTTTGAGCGTTAAACTTGGTAGTGTTTAAAAATAGAAGATATAAAATGATAAATTAGTGTAAACTCAATATCTTTAGTCGTTTCAGTATTGCCAAAAGCCCAATGTAATAATTCTATTAATATGAATATGAAATGAACTGCTCCCCGCCCCCCTTCAAAATTCCCTCTCAATCAGACATTTGGGGGAGAAATGGTTAACTTTCCATTTAAATGTTTTGGCACATCTACTATTATTCTTTCCACCCTGCCAATACCTGAAGGTATGCTACTGACTATTTTCATCTTTGTTCCCTTCCTTTTATGCAGGTAAGCTCATTTACTAATGCATCTTTTTTGGTGCTTGCTTACTTGGAAGTTGTACATTTTAAGTTCGTCCGCCTCTTTACCTGGTACAGAGAAAAGCAAAAATACTAGTTGAATAAATAATCAAATGAGCTTTTGTTGTAATAAATGTTTGGCAGGGCTCTAATTAGCGTGTGTGGATTGCTATTGTTGGGAACTTCTTGTCTTTGCCCGAGGACGTTCCAAGTCATGGTCAGCAGTTTCTGAAGTGTAATTTTGGTCACCATCTACACCAGCAGTAGTTTTTATAATGTATAAGAGACAATTGGCATTAGTTTTTATAATGTATAAGAGACAATTGGCATTTGTGGCTGTTTATATATTTGATATAGCTCTGTAAAGAATCATTATATCATTTTTTCTGACCACCTTGTTTAGTTATGTTATACTGATGATATTTTCGTGAAACACTTGAGAACTTGAGGCTACTTGCTCCTATGGATTCGGATTTTTTTTTCACATTTTGTATTTCATTTCCTTGTTTGTGTGTCTAATATCTCTACTTGATTGGGGCTTTGTGGTGTAGCTAGTTCTAGCTTAGGGCTTGTTTGATAGTTTACATGTTAAATCTTTTGTACGCAAAATGATTGCATGCAATATTTATGGAGCAATCATTTTACATGTAAAATAAACTATATTGTTTGGCTAATGTGTAATTTTTTTTTTATTTGCTTGCAAAATATTTTACCAACACCCCCACGTAAAACAGTTTACATGGTACAGTGCGAATTGTTTTTTAAAAAGTGACTTACAGTTCATATTAAATAATTCAACCAAATAGTGTAAACCTTTTACATCCTTGCACTTTGCATGCGAAATAATTATTTTACCTCATACCAAACACTCTGCAGAAGGGTGCTGTGATAGCTTGAGTTGGCCTGAAAATGAGTTAGGTACATGTTAGAATGTAGTGTTCCAGACCCATGCCCGTTAAACTCTATGTTGTTTTAGACCTGACCATATACTTGTAAGGTCTAGAACTCTTGTTTCGGATCCATATCCACCGGGTCTCGAAATTGGGCCGGGTAGACCCGCCTTATATGTGGGTGATAAGTTGTCAACTCCAATTTTTCTCAAATAAAAAGCAAGAACTCTAATTACAAATAAAGATTTTTTCTAAAATATTACTAAAATAAAACATGTGCAAAAATTGGGACAAAACTGATTGTGGATATTCTTTCATAATCATTATGATGTAAGACTTGACCACAATATAGTATTTTGACTTTCTTTCTTGGGATTTAACCCATTTTAGTATTTTGGTATTATTAATCCTCTCCTCCTCTCCTCCTCTCTCATCTCATACTCATCATTTATCCTTCTCTTCCTCACTCCTAGTTTATATCTATTTTCTCCGTCGATCTTCTATTTTTTATTGTCACACACTTTGTACCTTCTTCATTAATCTTTGTTATTGTCTCTACTCCATTGTTGACCTAACTCCCTTCGTTCTTCGGTTAACTGAATTTGTTAGTCCATATATGTGAAGCAGATGATCTAGATCTAAACCCTAGATCTATAGACCACCCCTTCAACCCTAGACCTGGCATCCGACGTGCATGGATTGGAATACTGAACAACAAGAATCATATAAAAATGACACCCCATCCCCGAGGCCCCCCAACACCGACCGGACGGCACGATGGGAGGATGTAAATTGGACTATAATCACAATCTGACAGATAGAGAGTGGGGCTCCGTCCCCAGTATTTGCAGAGGCCCTATGCATTTTTAGCATAGTAACCTCTCATCGTAGTTGCCGGGATTCGAACCCGGGACCTAACCCTTGTGGCACTCCCTCGTTACCAGTTGAGCTATGCCCACCGGTTTGAAAAAAGATGGGCCTCTGATCATTTCAAATAGTAAAGCGGATGCGATAGAGGACGGTGGAGAAGATCCGGCGAAGCCTATAGGGACAGAGAGTGAAGAGGATCTGACGATGCTTATGGTTCCATATAGCGAATAGGAGATGGAGGTGGACCATGAAGTGGCTCAAAGACGTAGAAAGTTTGAGACTAACTCTATTCAGAACCTAGGTCTGGAGGGCTTCTTATAATTAATTCTACCGAAATGGCAAGCAAGGATGTGTGATGTTGACAGAAGATATGGGAGTCTCTTACTTACTCTATCTTATTTCTAATTCTATGCAATGAATCCATACTTTGAAATTTCCCCTGTTTGTGTGTGTTTGGTGTAGCAATGATGAATAAATGATGTTTTTAATGCTTGTGTGCTGGTTGTTTTCTACTATGATGCTTGTGAGTATGCTGGTTCGAAAGTTTATGGCTAAAATCTTGTAGTGGTGGTGTGAGAAAAATCTTGTCTCACTATTATACTATGATGACCAATAAGGTCTGAGTTAAGACCGTGCAGTGGCATTGAGATGAATACATTTCATATGGTAGTTTGATACTATATTTGCACGGTAGTCTTATCTCTTTACCTACTATGTTGAATTGATGACCATTAAGGTCTGAGTGAGGGTTGTGGGGTGGTAGTATGATGATAATGCTGTGTGAAGTACTACTTGTATAATACTATGAGAAAATATTAGCTCAATACCTATTACGATGACCAATAAGGCCTGAGTAAGGGTTATATGGTGTTACTGTGATCGATCAATATGTTGTCTGAGATGGTTGTTTGGTATCGTGCTAAAAATATTGTCTCGGTATGTATTGTGTTTGTAGTGTGCTGAATATGGCAGTGCACTTTGGTAATGTGAGGATTGAATGAGGCCATTGATTGTAATTCTAGTTTCGAAAAGGTGTATGTTTGATGATGAACATCTCAACATGTGTAACTAGCTACTCCTATGAGTGTAATGCATGGTTATTTACAAGTTTGAGCACATCACACCCTTTAGGCATGTACAAAAAGGACAAAAATATAGGCCATACAACCTAACCCAAAACCAAAATAGTCATTTGGAATGAGTTCATAACGTAACATGGAGTTCATACTCCTTTTGAATTATGAACTACCCATGACTTTCCTCTTGTATGGCATTAGAAGAGGTTGGTTCTTGGGACAACAACCTTGTTGTCGCTTCTACATATCCCACATCTACCTCAATGGCAATGAGCGGTCTTCCTTATGTGATCATCTTATCCTTTTCATGGTGTGATACTTTGTAGATGTTCCCCATCCACATTCATTACTTCCACCACCACATACAGATACGTTAATCACACCTTGTTCAGAGTGATGGGTGATAGCAGGTAGAATTCCTCATTAACGTACTACATTCAACAGTTCGTCAACATTCTTGGGTGTATTCTCATTTTTTCAAGACACTATGGCATTAGATTAGATACCTATTAAATGGATTACTATTTCGGACTTAGAGTCACACCGTTATATGTTTCAATTTTACCATGAGACTGACCTTTACAGAGTCCTTAATGTGGGCCCTGGTTATTTGATCAAAATCTTATTGTGCTACGTAAGCTTCAAGAAGGTGATCTTCCTTTATTTGTGCCATTAAATTTGGCGGAATTTTGGGTGCAAGTTCATCGTTAACTGATTGGTTATTTTACTTTAGATGTGGCTGAAAGAATTGGAAATAGATTAGAGACACTTATAAAAATGGATGTACATAATTTTTTAGCTTCCTAGAATCCTTTCATTCGAATTAGGGTGGCTCGTGACGTGGGAAAACCACATAAGAAAGGTTTAAAATTGCATAAGGGGGATGGTTAAGTGTTTGGGTCAATAACTATCATGAGAAGCTCCCTAACTTCTGTTTTTGCGTGCAGTTATTGGTCATGCAGAAAGATATTGTCCCCATCCAATGGATAAAAGTGAGAAAGGAAAAGCTAATTTGGGCCTTGGCTGAGAGCCTCGAAGGATAGAGTGTAATCAAAAGGAAACATGTGGTTAATCCAGTCAGGAAAAGATACTATGAGCGAGCAGGTTGCGCACAACATGATGCATGATATGAGTTATGTTAAAGATGACGCAAGGGAGGAAGAATATAAGATATTGGTTCATGGCAGTCACTCTGAACAAAAGAGGAAGCGGGTTGAGGAGGTGGTGCAACCAGACTCTAGTACCAGAATGGAGGTGGAGTATACTCCTCCAAAAAATGGAGAAGAGGTGGACTGTCTGGTGATGGCTCACCAAACACAAAATTAAGGATGCTGCTGGGCAGGAATGGGGTTGGAGAAAGGCTGACAGGGCAGTGGACCCATTTCTTATTTGTTTACCTTTTTCTTCGTTTTTTTGCTATGTCGTACTTTTTTATTTGAATAAAACTTCTGCGTTTTAGGTGAGTTTTGAGAATGTTGATTGTTTTGTAAAGACCACCTATTTGTTCGTTTACCGGGTTCGGCACGAAATCATAAATAAGCTCTACCAAGGATTGCCAAGCATTTGGTACTGAGTTTCCTCCTCCCTTTTTAGTAACAAAATAAAGCAGTAGGACCAAACTGAGAGTGAGCAGCATAAAGAAAGATGGATTTGTGAATGAGAAATACAAGCCTCCTATATTTATAGGAATCAAGGGGATACTCGAAATGCCATAAAGCGCGAACCAAGATCCATAATACGAAAACCAAAATCAGAATGAGGAAGAAAAATATATCGGTAATACCTCTCATTTTCACTCGAGTCACTTCTATCCTATGAGTTACTCACTTGTACGATGGGCTGGTATTGTGGGAGTAAGTAGTTTGGCTTCTAAGGCCGGCCGTTACTTCGAATCTCTCGCAGGTCCAGAAAAGAGTGTTGTTCTTTTTAGGAAGAGGTCTTACGTGTATGAGCTAGGAGGAGAGATGTTTTGTGTTGTGGAGAGGTTTTGAGTGCTTGGAACATTATTAATACTATGTAATAGTTAAGGGTTCCCCTTTCAAAAAAAAAATCTGGGCATGCTTCGCAATCATCGTTTAACGGTTAGTGAATTGTGTTAGCGGACTATTGGTATCGGGTTTAAGTGGTGGATTTGTCTGGAAAATTAATTTGGCGGCTTGCGTCATGATGTTTGGTAAATTAGATTGTTTTGTCTTAGCGGTTAGTTGGTAAGAAAAATATAATGACATTATTAAATTTCAATAGCAAGTTAGGTATCTCTTATTTCGACTGCTACTACTAACTTATTCATTAATTCTCAAAAAAAAATTGATGTTTAATTTGTTCAACGGTTCAACCGAATCGAAACCACAATTATTAGAGGATTTAATCAATTTTTATACACATTGTTTGAAATTCCAGACTATACAGCCTGCTATTATATTTGTTTCAATCCCTAAAAACCTGAAGAAGAGTCTGAATATCAACGTAACACAAATACATAAACTCAAACAAAATATCTATTTGTACATCATCTTAATTATTGTATTCCAGAGCAGCGAGAGTAAGTTTTATACTCTATATAGTTGAGTTTTCTAAAACAGAGCACTAAGAGGGTAGTAAAAGAAAGAATTACTACACAAAAAACATTTAAATACTACGTCAAATCTTTATCTTTAGCATTACTTATGAATTGTTTCATTCCTACACATTTTCTTTATTTTCAATTTGATTATATACTAAAAAACATTATTCATCACATGAATTAGATTGTTGCGTTTTTTTTGTGCAATGCACAAGTTGATTGAGTAGGTGACATAAAGGAAGAATCTTTTCCCAATAATGTTTTCACTCCCATATATACATAAAATTCAACATTTGGACTTTAGAATTGCGATTCTTGCATGATATGAATAGGTCAGTTACTCACTGGTCTTGATTTTAATTTACTTTGCTAAATATTAATTTATTTCTTCTCCACATTGAATTGTGATGCTATAACTTTGCTTTTTGCTTCAAATCGCCACCTCCATTAAAAATTTGATTAATTTTGAAGTCTTTTCTGATTTTTATATAGGTGATTTGTTGGTAATTAACAATTCATATTTGGGAATTTTCCCAAGATGAAAGTAAAGAAATTGCAATAAGTGAGTACAATATTATAATATTAATCTCATAATTGTTAGTTTTTTTTGCTTTCAAAAAAATAATTGTTAGTTTTTTCAAGCCCATTGGTAATTATTTCTACTTGTGAAAAATGGAATACTCCTATTTTGAAATATCACATTATTTGTACTCTTATTTTAGACAACATTTGTTCATATTTGTGAAAAATCAAGTTATTATTGTAAGTCATGTATCCAAATAATTATTTATTCTCATGTTACATTGTTTGTTGTAATATTAAAATAATATATTTACACGACATGTTGCGATGTGTGAACATTATTACATGCACTTGAGCACTTCTAAAATTATCTGATATAATTGAGAAATGTAACTCTCGTATAATACACATGTGAAATAACTAGTAACTCACAAATGATACTCAATTGCCTTGTAATGGAACAAAGATACACCCCATATTATATTTGATTTGTATATGTTACTAGTTTTTCTAGCTCCCGTTTTGTTTATGTGTAAAGAGTTTGTCATTGGTATTAAGACCATCTCCAACCATCACCATTTCCTACACCAAAATGGTGGATTTACCAAAAAACTTGCTCCAACAGCTACACCATCATTTCCGCCATTTCACCAAAATGGGGGAGGGGGTTTGGCTTTACGCCATATATGGCGCACACTATCCCCTGCGCTATCTTTTTTTTTTTCAAATGTGACCCAAAGTTTTGATTGTTATAGTTTGGACCCATTTTAGAACAACAAATTATAGAACAAATTTAAATTATTAATTTGATAGAAAAAATATATATATATATATATATAATAAAATTTAAATCACACAATATTATAAATAAAGTTTCAAATCAAAACAACATAATAACATAATACAAATGATACTTAAGAAAATAGCATAACTAAAATTACAATTAATAACACCATTAAATTTAAAAAAAATAAAAATATTATTAAAATCATACATAGTACATACTAATTTAGAAATTAGCAGTCATTCAACACGCTTCCAGACCCTCCAAGACCATCAAATAGATTCCCAAATCCAGCAGATGATCCCCCTTCTTGAGATTTTTTTGTAAAATTCTTGATCTTTCTGCACTGATATACGCTCGCATTTGTGGATCGTCAATAGAATTCAAATCCATGAACATAATTTTATCTTCTCTCCTCTGTTCTTTGTATGCCATATTTTGTCGCTAGATTTGCAATTGTTCATGTCTATCTAACAACGATTTCTTGAACATCTCTATAAGTTGCTCATTGTCGCTCTTAACTGACTTAAGCAAAACAATAGTGACTTAGCACGATCTAGCTGCAAATCATTAAAATAAAATTTGTATTACATAAAAGTAAATAAATTATTGAAAATTAAAATTATATTATACTTACAATATCTTTTTCAGAAGCACCACATGGATTCAAATTCTCAACTTGCTTGACACACCCATTTAGCCTTCGTGCCTGAGTAGTTATTGTATCCATTCTTGAACGAAGTGAACGTATGTTATGATGCTCGTGATTTTGTTGACGGTGTTCATTGTATTTATCCTCAACTAGTGACCAAAAATCATTTGCAGATTGATATCTGCCGATGATTGGGTCTTGAGTTATGTCTAAATACATTTGACACAACAATGCGTCATCAGTTATGGTGTAACTACTTGATCTTGAAGTCAATTTGCTCGTAAAGAAAAAAAGATAAAATATAGATTGTGAGATAGAGGTTTTGATGAAGTGTGATAATTCATTGCATCGGTATTTATAGAATGTAGAGTTTGATAAGGAATCCTTACATTATCTGTTGGATGGATTTCCTTATCTTCACAACCATCAGATTCTTATCTTTTGAGATAAGCGTACTTGTCACGCACTACTTACAATGTCAGACACAAGTTGATAGAGAATCATTACATTACCCGTTGGATGAATTTTCTTTTTCTTCACAACCATTGGATTCTTATCTTTTGAGATAAACATACTACTTACAATGTCAGACACAAGTTGATAGGGAATCATTACGTTACATGTTGGATAAATTTCCTTTTCTTCACAACTATCAGAATCTTATTCTTTGAGATAAGCGTACTACTTGTCACACACTACTTACAATGTTAGACACAAGTTGATAGGGAATCATTACGTTACCCGTTGGATGAATTTTCTTTTCTTCACAACCATTGGATTCTTATCTTTTGAGATAAGCGTACTACTATTAATATGAACAAATTAACACATGCATAAGATGTATCACCACATAAAAAAAGAACTTCAATATTGGAGCATCCTCTTACATATCATCGTCTTCTTCTTCAGATGATGATGCTTTAGCGATGAACACTATACCACAACTTGATGAAGAAGAAGAAATCATGATGGTGGCACTAAAAACTAAAAACCAACAACATGACAATAAGTCATTGTATTGGTGAACTAAATAGGCCTATTAGGCACGGTGGATCAGTTCATGGTCATGTGGTGATAGACCGTGATCGAGAAATGGGAGACCATAATTTGTTCATGGACTATTTCTCTCCAAATCCACGTTATGGAGAAGCATTATTTCGTCGACGATATCGTATGTCGCGAGATTTGTTCCTACAAATAGTTGGTGCAGTTACAAATCATGACAACTATTTCCACCAACGAAGAAATGCAACAGGTAGACTCGGATTATCAGTTTTACAAAAAATAACGGCTGTATTTCGTATGTTGGCATATGGTGTGCCTGCGGATGCAACAGACGAGTACGTTAAAATAGGCGAGTCTACAGCAATTGAAAGTATGAAAAAGTTTTGTCGATCTATTGTCCAAATATATGGAGGGCACTATCTAAGAGGACCTAATGACAATGACATAGCGAGACTTCTTGACATTGGAAAACAACGTGGATTTCCAGGAATGTTGGGAAGTCTTGATTGCATGCATGATTGGAAATGAAAAAAATGTCCAACAGCATGGGCAAGACAATATTTTGGTCGTAATAGCTCACCAACTATCATCCTTGAAGCTGTGACAGATTATGATCTTTGGATATGGCACGCATATTTTGGAATATCGGGTAGTAATAATGATATTAATGTTTTAGAGGCATCCAATCTTTTTTCAGATTTAGCACAAGGTATTGCTCCTCCCGCTCATTATATTATTCAAGGAAAAGAGTACAATGTCGGTTACTATTTAGCGGATGTTATATATCCATAGTGGTCAACACTTGTTCAAACAATTCATCAACCACAAGGTAGAAAGAGAAAAATTTTGCCATGAGACAAGAAGCATGTAGAAAAGATGTTGAATGTGCCTTTGGAGTATTGCAATCCCGATTTGCAATTATCGCAGGACCTCACATTTTTGGGAGAAAAAAGTCTTATACGACATAATGAGTGCATTTATTATTATGCATAATATGATTGATGGATAGTCTACCCGGGGGGTATCTAATCCGAGGGGTTATTGCGGAAATAACTAGAGAGAAGTCAGAGCAAATAGGAGGAGAGAGAGTCGATTTTATTAAATGAACTCAGCGTGGAGTTGAGATGTAGGTTGTGTTTTACAAGGAGAAATGGGCTGCTATTTATAGCAGCAATAAATGCGATGAGGGGACACGTGTCAGTAATCCAACGGCCGAAGGGTCACATCAGCCGGTTGGCACCGGCAGTGGTACGTTCACCGCATTGAATGCGGTTGGCGGATGTGACGTGGCATTAAATGCGGTGGTTGGCTGTCTCCAAAAGGAATCTTCGATGATTGAGCATGCTTGGCCGAAGGCTTCTGGTGTAGCCGAGGGCTCCGTGTAACCGAGGACCCCTGTGTAGCCGAAGGCCTTGCGTGACCGAAGGCTTTGTTCAGCCGAAGGCCTCTCTGATGCCGAGGGCTCGATAATACCGAAGGCTCATGTTTTTCGCCGTTTTCTCCCAGTAGCTTCTTATGCTAGAGAAGGCTATCCTGTGAGTTTTGGAGCCTTCGGCCAAGGAGGCCGAAGGCACCCCAGTGTGTGTTCTGGGTTACTTTGAGGCTCGGGCCGTTGCATTTGGGCCTGAGTTGTTCTCTGGGCTCAATGGACTTGTGTAGGAGAAGTAGGAGTCCATGGGCCGGGGGTTCCCGGGCCATATACTCCATCAATGATAATAGAGAATGAACGTGATATACATGCACTAGTTGAAGATGTGGGAGATACACCAGTTCTAGATGTTGAAGTGGCAGTTGATGAGGCGACGCGGTTCACTCAATTTCTTACCCGATATAAACAAATTAACGACAAAAACACTCATATTGAGCTCCGCAATGCTTTAATTGATCATTTGTGGGAACAATTCTCAAATTCCGATAACTAAACTAAGAATATTTATTTCATTTATTGCTTTAAGTTTAAGTAGTACTTTATTAATGATGTACAAATTATTATGATATTATTGTACTATTTAATTTTATGTAGTTTTAGCTTGTATTTGCGAAATATTGATTATTGTATTTTAATGAGTGAAATGCGTGAAATATTGAGGTACTATTTTAGTTTGTATTTGTGAAATAATGTGTGACGTGTCAAAATACATATTAAATGAGGGGCTAATGTATAAATATATGATAATTAGATAATTAAATATAATAATGGTAAAAAGTTAGTAAAAAGAATAAAAAGGGAATATTCCTTTTTAGTGATGAAAATGGTGTATACGGTTGAAGATATAACACTATATGATGTGATGTTTACACCGTTTTAATGCAAAAAATGGTGTAAACTATTGGAGATAATAACCTAATATGGTACAACACCAAACGGTTATGACTTAAAAATTGGATCATGCGGACTTTTGGAAAGATCACAATACATTAATCCTTCCGTATTTATTTGTTTGAGATAGTAGTAGGCTTTTGCACAAACTTTAATGATAAAATTGTAGAAGACTAAGTAATAAATAAAGTAGAAAAGTGTAGAGATTTGCCAAAAAAAGTAATGAAATGAAACGTAATCCCCGACAACTGGATTATCAAAAAAGAAAAGAGAAAAGAAAAAAAAAATTGGCGGGACTTTAGTGGAAGTGTAAACTGTAAAAGTGGCTATTCAAATTTATGCTGCTTCTGCTGCACATAACCACAGAGCAGGCCGATCTAACAACACGCGAGTTCAAAATCGAATCAGGGTGCCTCTCATCTCTTCAGTCACCAGTTCATTTTAAATTCTTTGAAGCTGTTACTCCTTTTAATCAATAAAGGGAGGGAGTCTTCTCCATTTACTCTTCAATCCATGTTCTAAAACTTATTTTTATGAGAATAAATACTGTTATTATATTTATATACATAAAAGTATAAAACCAAATAAGACTTCCCTTAGAAGCAGCATTGCCAAATTTCCATGGGAGAGTAACTTTTTATTGTGGACACAGCAAGGAAGAAAGCAAAAACATGAGAATTCATTCAAGGGCAAGATGACTTGTAACAGCCACCAAAAAGTATAACACCACATTCAATATATGTCCAGGGTGGCAGCCTCTCCTCTTAATTGATTATTAACATATTGGATTTGGGATCTTTTTGGATGGTGTTTCAAGAACACCAACCAACAGATATGCATATATTGTAGGGAGTACATAAAAAAGTACTACAACACACAAATGTTGCTTAATGAATGGCCGGCCGGCGGTGACACCCCCAACCAATGATTAATTAAGCCTTCACTGCGAAGATATCCAACAGAGAAGAGAATGTACCATATGAAGCAAAAGTGAAGCCGAGAACAATGATGGCTCCATCACAAGCCAACCCAAGCCAACCCAATTCTTGCTTGAACACAATCAGATGAAACAAAGCCGGCAAAACAAAGCCCAGCACAATGCACACACTGCTCCCCACTAGCGATAAGAAGTCCGCAAAGTTAGGAACTGCCAGAGCCACCAAACTGACCACAAACACACCAAACCACCTTAGCCAAAGTGAATACTTTCCTTCACAGAATCTTCTTTCCAACACTTCATACACCGGGTTCATCATTAGAGGGAATGTAAAGAAAAGATTAACACATAACCCGATTTGGACAAGACTGCTTACAAGCCCCCTCCCCAGGTTAGTGGTGATTATGTCTTTAGTATCATCACCAAATGCAAAGTAACCTAGTATCCCAAACACCCCATACATCATAGATATCAGTGCCATTGATAAACCCAAGACTCTTCCGAACTTACCCTTGTCCCCTGTCTCTGACTCTAGGGGCAAAACCATCCCGACCCCTTCAAAAGCATATACAGCAACTCCAAGACCATAGAAGAACACACTGAGCCCACCAAAGGGCTGAAGAGCAGGCCTGTTCTGTAAGTAGACTAAAACATCCTCAACCATAACCACACCCATAGCTCCCAAATCAACCACATCGGCAAAGATGCTTAAAGGGGCTAAATTGGTAAGTGTGGGAATTGAATTCAACCCCAGTTGGAATGGAAAACAGCTCCAGATATACACAGATTTTGGGGATATCCCCAAAATTTTAGGGTTTGGGTGCTCAAGAGATGCATAATTGAATATGTGAGCTAAACTATTTGCTATGAAAATCATGTAGCTAACACAGAATCCAGCTTGGGAGAGAACAATCATAAAATCAACAGCAAACCTCCCTATCCGACCACACACAGCAAACCCTAGATCACCAAAAGATGAGAGCTTCGGAGACTTGGGATTGGATTCGAGCTTTCTTCGTGAATGCACTAACAGCATCATACAGTAATAGGTCAAGGAGGCCACAGAAAAGAGCATAAGAACACCCATGACCCATCCAGTTCTCTTGAACGTGTAGGGTAGACCAAGAACTCCTGATCCGACGATGGCTATGAAAACATTGGCGAAGGTTTTGGTCGGGGAAGAGAGATGGTGTTGACTCGAGAGGAGTGGGGTGTCTTCTCGCGGTGGTAAGTGGAGGACATGGGAGGATGAACTCGCTTCGTCTTTCGCGAATCCCATGGATGGCGACCTCGGAATGGATCCGGAATTCAGAAAGCAACAAATCCAGAAACTGAGCTGGGTAAATGATGAGACGGGGCAGGTTTCCTGATTTGAGCAGATCTAAGAAATGAGAAATTAATTAATTTTATACTTACTGGATTTGAAACTCTGTTTATGTTATCGGGGAAACTTGTTTGATTGGAGAGCTCTGCAGAGGGAAGGTGATTAGGTGAACTTCGGCCTATTTATCTGCGATTCTGCGGCACGGCACAGCACAGCAGGTATTAACAGCTTATTGAACTGTAGGTAGTCCACGGCCACCACCTAAATCTTTGTTTAGAGCATCCTCAATGCTACAATGTGCACGGTGCATATGTGGCATGAGAGAGTTACACATAAAAGATTGATTTTATGACATTTCTCTCTCCTTCTTTCCATGGTCTTATGTATTTTTAGTAAGTTTTTCTCTGCAATGTCAACCACAATGTCTACATCTAGACATTGTGTTTGACATTGTGAAGAAAAACTTACCAAAATGATGTAAGATCCTTCAAATAAGGAGAGAAATATTCTGTTTATTATTTTTTAATTGGTTATCTCTCATGCCACGTATGCACCATTAACGTTTTAACATTGAAGATGCTCTTAGTTTTGCTTCCTATACACACCAAGTCTAATTATTTATGTATAGATAATTATGTTTGGGTTTAGTAAAGAAAAGCGTTTGTGTTCCCGAATTGTTTATGCATATACAATTCATTTTTTAGAGTTACAAACACTCCGCTTTATTAAAACTCAAACTTAATTGGCTGCACAGACAATTATACTTGAGTGTGTAAGCCCGTGTGCAACCCGGTGTGTACACCGAAGCAAAATTCATCTTCGTTACACTTCAATAAAGTATTGAGTGCTTATACTTTGATCATAGTTTAGTAAATGGTTAACAATAAATCTAGTGCATGTGCATATTACAGAAAAAGAGTTTATATTATATTTGAATGAGTATAACTGTGAATAATGATCCCCCGTTGAATTGGGGTGACTAAAGAGCTTCTATTTATAATTAGAATATACAATTCACATATGGAAATAATGTGCTGCTAATTAATGTAAATAATATCCTACCATGAATAAGTATTAACAATCTATAATTATATATATACTAGACTATTCTGCAATATTCTATCACCCCCTCAAGCATGACGTGGGTGTAACCGAATGTAAAGCTTGGAACGTATGAAATCATAGGCGGAACGGGAAAGACCATTGGTAAATATGTCTGCGAGCTGAAGAGTGGTGGGAACAAACTGCACACGTAATCTGCCAAGAGAGACAAGCTCACGTATGAAATGATAATCAATATCAATATGCTTGGCACGCTTGTGTGCGACGGGATTCTGAGATAAAAATATAGCACTCTTGTTGTCGCAAAGGAGCAAAGGTGAGGTTGAGGTAGGTACACAAAGATGGCGAAGAAGATACATGAGCCAAACAACTTCAGAAGCAGTATTTGCTAATGCACGATACTCAGATTCACAACTAGAGCGAGATATGGTTGGCTGTTTCTTAGCACTCCAAGAGATAAGATTATCCCCGTAAAAAATAGCATAACCATAGGTGGATTGATGAGTTTCAAGACAACGAGCCCAATCAGAATCAGAGTATCCCACAACAAGTGGAGTAGAAGCAGAACGAGTGAATGTGAGACCATAGTGAATAGTTCCTTTAACATAGCGCAAAATGCGCTTGACTGCTTGAAAATGCTCGGTGGTAGGCGCTTGAAGGTACTGACTTACTGAATTAACAGCGTAAGATAGATCAGGCCGCGTGATGGTGAGATATTGTAAAGCGCCTACTGGTGATCGATAAAGAGTGGGATTAGAATATGGTGCTCCAGAGGTACTGTTTAACTGAGAACCAGCAGGCCAAGGAGTGGAAACAGGGTTGGCATCGAGCATAAGAGAGCGCTCAAGAATATCACGAGCATATTTTGCTTGACCAAGAAAGAGACCATTCGAAGTATGAGTAACTTCCAGTCCCAAGAAGTAGCTTAGGCGACCTAAATCTTTGATGGAGAACTCCTTGTCAATCCGAGATATGAACTTACGGATGAGATCAGAATTGTTAGCGGTAATAATAATATCATCAACGTATACCAAGAGATGGAGTAAGGTCGAACCACAAGAGTATACAAAAAGAGAAGTATAAGTCTTGCTGCATCTAAACCCGATATGAAGTAGATAGTCATTGAAACGCTTAAACCAGGCACAAGGAGCCTATTTTAAACCATATGAAGCCTTCCGAAGGAGACAAACATGATTAGGAAATTGAGGATCAAAATACCCTGGAGGCTGTTCCATATAGACTAACCGATCGAGAATGTCATCGAGAAATGCATTTTTAACGTCAAGTTGATGAATCGGCCACCCCTTTTGAACAGCGATGGCAAGGACGGTGCAAACAGTAATTGCCTTAAGAACCGGGCTAAAGGTGTGAGTATAGTCAAAGCGGGGGAGTTAAGTGAACCCTTGGGCAACCAAACGAGCCTTTAATCGTTCAATAGATCCATCGGCTAAGTATTTAGTACGATAGACCCATTTAGATCAAACAATATTAACACCCGGAGGATGAGGAACAAGATCCCAAGTAGAATTTGTTCGAAGGGCTTTGATTTCTTCATCCATAGCAGCTACCCAACCAGGATGTTTGAGGGCAGATTTATAGCCCTTTGGTTCAGATTGGGAGGTTAAAGCAGCAAGTAATCCAGTGAGTTAAAAATATGGAAAATGCTTAGGTTTAGAAACACCAATTTTGGAGCGAGTGCACATGGGGTGACTAGGTCCAGGAGGAGACGGAACAACTGTAATAGAAGTATCGGTGGAACCATTGGTAGTATTGCTTGAGGAAGTATCGTGGCCAGTAGAGTGTGGTGTAGATTGAGGAACCACTACATCATCTGTAGGACATACAGGGCATGCAGAGGTAGTGGTCTGTGAGGAGGAAACTGGTGAGTTGAGTGGCTATTGAGAAGCTTCAGAGATCCTGGAGCAATGAAAGAGGAAATGTCCATATGACTAGGAGGGCTATCAGGGGCAGTAACATCCTTGAAAGGGAAAAACTCTTCATGAAATTTAGCATGGCGGGAGATATGTACACGACTAGTAGTAACATCCAGACACTTGAACCCTTTGTGATGTGCTATATCCAAGAAAAATGCAGGGAATAGTCATAGGAGAAAACTTATGCGTAACAGTGGCATGTATGCAAGGATAGACCCGACAACCATAGGGATGAAACATGGTGTAATCCGGAGCAGCTTTAAAAATGAGCTCATAGGGAGACGACCCATGTAAGATAGTGGAGGGCAAGCGGTTGATAATAAAAACAGCAACAGAAAATGCATCAACCGAATAAGGCATAGGAACATGAGAATAAAATAACACAGCGATCCCGGTTTAGTGATGTGCCGATGCTTACGTTCGGCACGACCATTTTGAGCGGCAATGAATGGACAAGACATTTGATGATGAATACCACATGCACGGTAGTGAGCTTTAATGCGATTATTGGTGAACTGGTTCCTCCATCGGTTTGAAAAACCTTAACTTTGAGGGCAAATTGAGTATCCACAAATTTTTGAAATTGAAGAAATACATCATAAAAATCGGATTTGTGGTGCAAGGGATAAAACCATGTAAATCGCGAATAATCATCCACAAAAATAACATAGTATGAAAACCCTTCTGTAGATAAAATAGGTGCAGGCTCCCATAAATCGCAGTGTATCAAGTCTAACAAACCAGAGGAACGCTTATCATTATTCTTAAAAGGTAAACGGTGACTTTTTGCCAGTTGACAAGAACAACATGTAATAGGTTTGGGCAGGACAAAAGTAACAAGTAAATGTCCTAGTTTATTCAATAACCGAATAGTAGAAAAGGAGACATGTCCAAGTCTTGAATGCCAAAGCTCATAGGACGCTCGAAGCTTGTGAGAACGTAACTCCCCTGCCCCACGATCTCCCTTGTATGCTGATCGGGCTAAACTTGCAAGTATACAAGTGCCGATGTAGTAATAAAATACCGGTAAATACCGGGTCGATCCACAGGGAAATGGTTGATATTATAAAGTCGAGTATTGAATGCAAAGAATGTAAATGATATATTTTTTTAGGAACTTTGCTCTTTGAGATTGGTTTAAACAAGAATGAGAATTACTAAGGCAATCGGGATTCACCTAAATGCTTTAATAGTTATTTAATAATAGTTCTTCTCCAATAATTATGAATACGATGTCGCTAATATATTCTCAACTCCGGTTAAGGCAGCGAGAGCGTGGTTTTCGTTACGTGTAAGTCCCGTTACGGCTCACATTCATCTACCGAAAACCCCGTTGAATATCAAGACATCACACCCGTATCATATAAGACCGGATATATTTCTATTCTCGGTGCTATATATGTTTATCCTTTAGTGTTCATAGTTTAGACTTCAACGTTAATTGCAAGCATAAACTAAATTTAACATACTTCTATGTTGTACACCATAGTCATAAACAATCAAAATATAAAGGATAAATCACAATTTATTGGTTTAGAACTTTTATCAAACACCTAGTGTGCATAGAGGTTCATCCCTAGCCTTAGCTAAGAAATTAGCCTCTAATGCTCATATTAATCACAATACAATATGAAATGTAATGGAACATGAAATTACAAAGGAAATAATACCTAAACACCAATGGTTTCGGAGGTTGAAGTTTCCTCCTCAAGAACTTGAAGAAAATACCAAGAACAAAAATATAAAAGCTAAGAATTAATCTATGGAATGGAATGTGTTTGCTTGATGAATTGAGGGCTTTATATAGGCTAAAGAAAGGCATATTTTGGTCTATTCAAGCCCAACAATCGGGTGTGGAAGCAATATTTGATCAGATATGGAGGAAGATGAAGTTTTCCCATCAAGAATCACTTGCACGTTGCTGTGTTTTAGCAGAAAATCGTCCCAACCGGCGCCGGTTATGTTCCGACCGGCCCCGGTTCAAAACAGCCTCATTTTTGCGTGAAAAAACCTTCCGACCGGCGCCGGTTCTTGAATATCCGGCGCCGGTTGCTGCGCCCAACAATACACTTCATTTTTCTTCTTCCGAAATGGATCAAAAAGTGTCGGGTTTTGTCCCAGGATTTTGTGGATGTTATGCTATGAATTTGAACATGATTCCTTCACCAAAGTTGTAGATAATGAAGTCTTCTATCCACCAAAACTTGAATGACGTGATTTTATTCATCCAATCAAACGTTATGGCTAAAACACTGAGAGGTATGCATCCTGAAATCCCACCAGCAACATCTGACTTTGTTGGTTGATTGAGTCTTGTTCCTTTCATATTTTGGCCATGACGTCTTCATAACATTTGTACCTTATTGAGTTAGCATTCACATGAAACTCGAATCGAGTGATTTCGAGTTCTATAGAATACGTTATACTCAAATTATGGGCAGAACGTCATTCTCTTGGTCTAAAAAGTCGTTCATCGCAATGTTTTATGCTCTAGCTCTCATTCTGGATATATTTGCCCGATTTCTCTTCTTTTCTTCAACAAATACTTATAAATACTTATGTTAAACACAAGTAAATATAACGTCTATCAAATCCCCCCACACTTGAGCGTTGCTTGTCCTCAAGCAATTTCTTCAACTTTGGATGCCTTGGTTAGTTTCAACAAAAATATATGAACAAAAATAATTTTAATTTTAAGAGAGGTAAAAACTCATGTAAACTCTTTTATCTTTTTCGGTCCAAAACCAAATTTCTATTAGACACACAAAACTATCATTAGATTTAGAAAAATTACTTATACCCTTGAGAGTAGATGAGTGGATTGTGACTAGGACTTTTTGGGTGTGTATGATGGCTTTTTTTGTGTGTATTTGACTTTTGAGTATAGAAATGGATCGGTTGAAATTCTTGGAAGAGACCATGAGTTTTTTTTCATCTGAATGGATTCTCAACAAGTATTTACTCAAAGTCATTTTGATGATCCCAATTTATTTGATGAGTTGTGGGGTGGCTTGTTTTCCAAAATGGTTCTTGAATATTTGAGATGTTCTTAAACCATTTTTTTGGAAGTGAAAGAAGGTGGTGTTCCTAGTCACAAGTTTTTTTTTGGGTGGTTTTCAAGAGTAAAGAGTAGTGTAATAAATCTAAAAAATGATAGTTTATGTGAATAATCAAAACTTTCTCAACCAAATATCCATTAAAAAGAGAATTATCACAAGTTTTACCTTCCTAAAAAATTATTTTGCACACAAAATTTGTTTAACTAACCATGAGATGCACCCCCCCCACACTTGAGATACATTGTCCTCAATGTACATTTTTGGATACAATAGAGGACGAAAACTTCAATAGCAGAATGGACCGTCTTGTGAGAGTAGGAGTTGCATGACACCTGAGTTTAGATGATTTTTTTTTTTTTGTGCTTTTTTTTTTGTTTTTTTTTTGTTTTTTTTTTTTGTTTTTTTTTTTGTTTTTTTTTGTTTTTTTTTTTTTGTTTTTTTTTTGTTTTTTTTTTGTTGGGTTGCCTCCCAATTAGCGCTTAGTTTAACGTCATAGGCCGGACGAACGTACCTCTTTTGTGTAGCTGAATTCCCGGAGGTGTTTAGCTAGTAGGACCTCTCTTTTAAAATCTTGCGGGGGAGGAGAGGATGTGAAGCTATTATTTTCAATATTGAGAAAAGTATCACCCGGGTCAAAAATGTACCTTTTTGGCGTGTCTCGATTATGTCCTCCTTTCTTGTTGACGTTTACTTCTTGAATGGAAAAGTGGTCTCCTCTACCATTTGGAGGCGTGAGAACATTAGCTTCCGACTTCAAGAAATTCTCTAAAGTGGGTTGTACTCTCCACACATGAAATATGTCATTTTTATCTCCCACAAATAGATTTCTAGTCCCATCGTGTACATCTGAGGTCTTCTTGCTCTCCGGAACTTTGGGAACCTCCTTTCCTCTTTTGCTTTCCGTTGTGATGACCATGGTACTTCCTGCTATAGTATCTTGTTGAGCAAGTTGGTCAATCTGCAATTGTAGAGTGTGGAAGGAGCTTTTGGTATCTCGCTCGAGGTTGTCCATCCTTTGATTAAGAATTGTGTTTTGATTTTCAATTCGGGTGTCAAGTTTGGTAAATTGAGAATGGAGATTCTCAACGGATGCCTCCATTCTACTATAATGTTTTTCATTTTCAGCTTGAATACTTGTGGTAAGAAACGTCATCATCTCTTCCATGGTGGACTGAAAGTTTGAAGAACTCCCTTGCGGTTTCCAATTGTTGTCTTGGTTCCCCTTTTGTTGATTAGAAGAGTTGTAGTAGTTATTACCTTCATGATTCTCCCACTCGTCATAGGAGTTCATGTAATTGATCTCCTCGAGTTGAATAGCATACTCTCGTGTAGGAAGAATGTTTCTTAAGGCGGTTTGTAGGCTTTCTTTCAGTGTTCGTTCAAACTCCAAGAATCTTCTATCAAGCACATCACCAATAGATATTTCCTTCACTCTAGAGAACTTTATGTCTCTAGCTTGAAAATGTGGATTATAGGCAACAACGGGCATCTTGATCTCATTTAGTGAAGGATTTTTTTCACCTTTTTTTTTGTTTGTGTTTGCACACTCTTTTAACTTCAGGACCGAAGTTTTACTTAGATCCTTGAACTTCTTAAGAGCATACAAACACAAGGAATTTTCTGAAAAACTTAACAACAAGAACAAGTGAAATGTAAAGTGTGTATGGTTTTGTTTGATTGACTTTATAACAACAAGCCGTATTTCCCCGGCAACGGCGCCAAAAACTTGATCGGGCTAAACTTGCAAGTATACAAGTGCCGATGTAGTAATAAAATACCGGTAAATACCGGGTCGATCCACAGGGAAATGGTTGATATTATAAAGTCGAGTATTGAATGCAAAGAATGTAAATGATATATTTTTTTAGGAACTTTGCTCTTTGAGATTGGTTTAAACAAGAATGAGAATTACTAAGGCAATCGGGATTCACCTAAATGCTTTAATAGTTATTTAATAATAGTTCTTCTCCAATAATTATGAATATGATGTCGCTAATATATTCTCAACTCCGGTTAAGGCAGCGAGAGCGTGGTTTTCGTTACGTGTAAGTCCCGTTACGGCTCACATTCATCTACCGAAAACCCCGTTGAATATCAAGACATCACACCCGTATCATATAAGACCGGATATATTTCTATTCTCGGTGCTATATATGTTTATCCTTTAGTGTTCATAGTTTAGACTTCAACGTTAATTGCAAGCATAAACTAAATTTAACATACTTCTATGTTGTACACCATAGTCATAAACAATCAAAATATAAAGGATAAATCACAATTTATTGGTTTAGAACTTTTATCAAACACCTAGTGTGCATAGAGGTTCATCCCTAGCCTTAGCTAAGAAATTAGCCTCTAATGCTCATATTAATCACAATACAATATGAAATGTAATGGAACATGAAATTACAAAGGAAATAATACCTAAACACCAATGGTTTCGGAGGTTGAAGTTTCCTCCTCAAGAACTTGAAGAAAATACCAAGAACAAAAATATAAAAGCTAAGAATTAATCTATGGAATGGAATGTGTTTGCTTGATGAATTGAGGGCTTTATATAGGCTAAAGAAAGGCATATTTTAGTCTATTCAAGCCCAACAATCGGGTGTGGAAGCAATATTTGATCAGATATGGAGGAAGATGAAGTTTTCCCATCAAGAATCACTTGCACGTTGCTGTGTTTTAGCAGAAAATCGTCCCAACCGGCGCCGGTTATGTTCCGACCGGCCCCGGTTCAAAACAGCCTCATTTTTGCGTGAAAAAACCTTCCGACCGGCGCCGGTTCTTGAATATCCGGCGCCGGTTGCTGCGCCCAACAATACACTTCATTTTTCTTCTTCCGAAATGGATCAAAAAGTGTCGGGTTTTGTCCCAGGATTTTGTGGATGTTATGCTATGAATTTGAACATGATTCCTTCACCAAAGTTGTAGATAATGAAGTCTTCTATCCACCAAAACTTGAATGACGTGATTTTATTCATCCAATCAAACGTTATGGCTAAAACACTGAGAGGTATGCATCCTGAAATCCCACCAGCAACATCTGACTTTGTTGGTTGATTGAGTCTTGTTCCTTTCATATTTTGGCCATGACGTCTTCATAACATTTGTACCTTATTGAGTTAGCATTCACATGAAACTCGAATCGAGTGATTTCGAGTTCTATAGAATACGTTATACTCAAATTATGGGCAGAACGTCATTCTCTTGGTCTAAAAAGTCGTTCATCGCAATGTTTTATGCTCTAGCTCTCATTCTGGATATATTTGCCCGATTTCTCTTCTTTTCTTCAACAAATACTTATAAATACTTATGTTAAACACAAGTAAATATAACGTCTATCATATGCTTGTGCTGAGTAGTAAAAGAAGTGTCATAAAAAATAACCTTGACAGGTAAATCAGTTGTAAGTTAACTAATAGAGAGTAAATTTTTTGTGATCTGAGGAACCACAAGCACATCATTCAACACAAGATTAGGATAAATAAAAGAATGCCCAATAGAAGAAATAGGTAAGGTAGCTCCATTACTAACAGAAACCTTGTCTTTACCAGTGTAAGGGACAGCCTGGTCAAGCGTGGAGGGAGTAGCGGTCATGTGGGAGGATGCTCCTGAATCAATATACGAGTCTGCTGATTTGAGAGACACAACATTAAAAGCTTCAGCTAAATGGGCCTGAGATGGAGAAGAAGAACAGACAAACCGTTCTGGACAATCGCCTCCAAAGTGACCATCATTTTTGCAAATATGACAGCGAGGTTTGAAGGGACGGCGAGAGTAACGACGCTGACCAGAGAAGGTGCGCTGGTCAGGGCCTTGCATAGATCCAGAAACTGATGTTTTAGGAGAGACACGGGCATTGGAGCGAGTAAATCGTTGTGCAGTCGAGGAGGCCGTGTGAGAGTGAGCAGCAAAGGCAACAAGAGCAACACCAGGTGGGTCTTACACGGATTTCTGAAACAAGGCATGGTTTTCGGCTTCGGAGATAGCATCCCGAAGTTTTGGCAGCGGATCGGATTTCAATAAACCGAGAGAGAAACTCGAGAACGAAGGTAGAGTGCATTCAAGACTTGGACATGTCCAAGTCTTGAATACCAATGAATCTTATCAGTAATGGAAACCGAAGAGGAAATGTCAGCAAGTTGTTCACAGGACCCCTGAAAAAGCTTACCATACTCTGTGACCGAGCGGGAGCCTCGACGGAGATGCTGTAATTCATCACGCAACTCAATTTCTCGCGATTTGGAAGAAAGTTTGTAAGTGGTTGCTAGTGAAGTCCTACAGTTTCCAGGCTGCGTGAGACTTGAGTGCAACAGCATCAGAAGGATTTGAAACACAGGGTTCCGGAATTGTGCCGTCAACATAACCAAAAAAAAAAATTGGGATTCTAGAAGAGTCTTCACTTGATAACTGAGAAAAGGGGCAAATAAGCCCACGCACTAACAAAAAAGGTCAAATAAGCCCTTATTTAGGAGTCTTTGTTCAGACGTCGAAATTTGAGGCTCTTCCTGGTGAAATTTTTTGATAATTTTTTTGAGCATCTTATTCATTAAGTCTAGTTTACTCATACCAAATTTCAGCTAAAACTTCAATAAGGAAGGCATTCAAATGAATTCTTGAAGATAACTGCGCTTTTAATTTCGCAGTTATCTTCAATAATTCATTTGAATGCCTTCCCGATTGAACTTTTAGCTGAAGTTTGGTATGAGTAAACTAGACTTAATGAATAAGATGCTCAAAAAAATTCATCAAAAAATTTCACCGGGAACCGCCCCAAATGTCAATGGCCGGACAGAGCCTCCTAAATAAGGGCTTATTTGACCTTTTTTGTTAGTACGTGGGTTTATTTGCCCCTTTTCCCTAGATAATTTGAAGAAGTGTAATGGTAAGCATGTGAACAAGAGTAGAATATGGAAGAGAAGTGTCTAGATCGGCCATGGAATAAGATGTGAAGAAGAAGACATGAATTAGAGAATCGCGACTGATACCATGTGAATAATGATCACCCGTTGAATTGGGGTGACTAAAGAGCTTCTATTTATAATTAGAATATACAATTTACATATGGAAATAATGTGGTGCTAATTAATGTAAATAATATTCTACCATGAATAAGTATTAACAATCTATAATTATATATGCTGGAATATTCTGCAATATTCTATCAATAACACTTAAAAGAAATGTGCGTACACAAATAACTATTTGAGCGCATTACATAGTTCGAATTGTGACACCGCACCCGAACGTCCTTGAAAATTCAATTTAAAATTCAAAGTTATGTATTGAATTTCCGGTTTATCAAACAATTGTAAAACAATTTATGTTTTGCGTAGTGCGTGACTAAATATTGTATCGTTTAGACTCGTATATTAGTGTCGGGTTTTGCAAATACTTATTTGGTCCTTATTAATGAACATAAGAGCCCAAAATTACCTAAATAATGTTACTTAATCTTTCAAGACAAGTTGAGGAAGGTCGGGCGGCCCAGACATTATTTTGGGCTCAACCTGCTAAAAATAGCAAGTATTCGAGAATGGCGTCCTAGGCCCACTCGAGGGTGACCCACACGACTATTAGTCCAATAATATGAATGACAAATGTCAAAATAAGTGATAGAATGACTAGGGAAGAATATAAATGCCTATAGTCCCATCTTTGACATTATTGAGCTAAATAATGGGAGTAAGATTTTTCCTTCTATAATATTCATCAAGTAAATTATTGAGATGAGCCTACGCATATTGGAGATCAATAATGTGATGTAGGAAGTTGACTTGTTCTAAATAAATTAGGATGAGTACAAAAAGACATCTTTTGACAAAAGATAAAACAATAGGACTAAATAAAACAATTGGTGCTTTGACGTATACTTGAAGTACGCGAAGGACTAAAGCTAATTTTTGCAATAGCCTCCAAGTTCATTTAATTAGGTTCAGTTTTCCTTGTCATGTTGGCATGAGAACGCCGTTTCTTTCGAAAGATACCCAAGTCTCATCTTACGCTTTTTGACCGGGGCTCTCATTCCCTTTTTCGCAAAGTAAGAGGTCTAGCTATATTAATTTTTCACCTTTCGGATTCTCACTAGATATTACCCCATTCTAATCTCGGTCTCACCAAGGAAAAAATAGCAATTAAAGTTCATTAATTCAAAGTGAATCCATGCCTACAATGCAATCCTCGAAAGTATCACATTCCTAAAAAGTGTCTGCTCTTACCCTATTTGGGGCATAGGAACAATGCCAAAAATGGCTCCTACACAAAATTCCCTAAACTTAGCAAATTAATCCCCTAATTCCCTAAACATCAAGACTAAGTCAGAAATATTCACGGGTAAGGAACACAGGCCATTTGGCTATGGAGCTCAATTAATTGGGTAACAAAGAACAGTCAGGCTCAAAATGGCTTCTCCTAAAGGGTTCTTTCAGGTGGGGTGGATGATTATTGGAAAATTCAATGGGTGACTAATGTCTTCATCCTTTCAACAACTAGATTATAGTGCAAGCAATTTAAGCCTAAACACTTCAAGGACATTTTAAAAGCATAGTCAAAACGCTAGTCAGCTCACAAAGACACAGTTTAAAAAAAATCAAAAATTTTGACATGAATTTCCTTATGAATATACAACTAACACCTGCGCATGCTAACTCTAAAAATCACATGTAACAACTACTGCCCGAATGCCCAATTCACTCCCCCACACTTAAACTTTGGCATCGTCCTCGATGACCAAAAATGCACTATGCACAAGGGGGTAAAGAGGACAGGGTCACGTGTGCTCAAATTAAACTCAAGTCATTATTACACAAGCGAGTAAAAGAGTCAAAGAAACTTCCCTAAGGCGCTGGTCGATGCAGAACTAAACTGAGTCAATGTAATCCTCGGCACATCATCCATACAACAAGACCCTGAGCTGCAACAAAAACACAAAGCAAAACAACCAAACAACAAACAAAGCAAAAGCAAAAACAAAAGTAGAATTAAGCTCGGGTTGCCTCCCGAGAAGTGCTATTTTTAACGTCGTGTGCCCGACGCAACCACCTCATCAAAAACTCAGTCAAAGACACTCCCGCTCAAAAAATTAGTCTTCCACAAATCAAACCTCCTATCAACAAATGCCCTGAGATGGCGTAAGACCTTAAATTCGTGAAAACAATTGTGCATCTCAGGATTACCTGTACAACAAAAGAGTGGGTCTAGGCCTTTATCAGCCCCTTTAGCGAAGAACGGGTCTAAGAATGAACCACTCCCTTTTATGTCAAAAACTTTCCGGGCTAGAGCTTACCTTTGTTCACAAAGTAAATTAAAACATGCTAAATTTTGGGATGGCTCAAGCTCGGATGTAAGAATAACAGGGGGGTCAGGACTATTATCAATAAAGTCATACTCAAGGTGGAATGGAAGAGACTTTAGATTTAATGGAGGACTAACAAAAAAGGAATCGGACTGAGAATTTTCCTTCTCCACCTTATCTAAATCACCTTCCGTTCCCTGCACAAAACTAGCATCACTTGAGTCCTCCTATCCGCTAATCATAAGACAATCAAAACTAGGGAGGGGCTCAAGATCCTCTGCTGACACACTCTCTTCCAACAAAATATCAAAAGGGGCTTCATTGGAAAACATGTTAGAGGTGCAATCCTCCACCATAGAATCAATGTCATCCACATAAAAACACTTTCCACTATCCTGACAGGGCCTCTTCATTATTTTGGACATATCAAAGGTGGCAGTCTCATCCCCAACGCGGAGGACAAGCTTGTCATCTCCAACATCAATAAGTGCTCGGGCAGTTGCCAAGAATGGTCTGCCCAAAATTATAGGTACCTCACGATCGTGATCCATGTCCAAAATAACGAAGTCTACAGGAATAATAAACTTGTCCACTTTAACCAACACGTCTTCAACAATACCTTTAGGATATTTGACTGAACGGTCAGCCAGCTGAATACACATACGTGTTGGTTTTAGTGTACCGAGTGCAAGCTTTGCATACAAAGCATATGGCATTAAATTAATGCTTGCACCTAAATCAGCTAAAGCTCTATCAAAAGTAAGATCTCCTATTAAGCAAGGTAGAGTGAAAGAACCTGGATCCTTAAGCTTTTCTGGTAAATCCCTCCTAATCACAGCTGAACAGTCCACGTTAAGCCTCACAGTTGATGCTTCTTCCAACTTCCTCTTGTTAGTAAGCAGATCCTTCATGAACTTGGCGTACTTCGGCATTTGTGCTAGTGCATCCACGAATGGTATGTTGAGCTGAATTTGTTTCATGAGTTTCAGAAAATGACCAAACTGGTCACTATCATTCTTCCTCGTCAATTGCGCCGGATAGGGGAGAGGTGGGGTGTAATTCTTAACTGGAACGGGCTGTTTTGGTTCAGTCGCCACCTCTCTTCCCTCATCTTTCTCCTTTTCTTCTTCCCGGGCAGCCGATTCAACTTCAACTTCATCGGGCTTCTTTGTTGTGGCAGCAGGTTCTAGCTCTCTTCCACTCCTCAAGGTGATTGCCTGGACATGTTCTCTTGGGTTTGGCTCGGTATTACTAGGGAGGGATCCCTGAGGCCTCTCATATACGACTTTTGCAAGTTGCCCTATTTGATTTTCCATGTTTTGCATCCTTGCATTTGCTTGTTGATTATTTACCTCAGAAGCTTGTATGAAATGTTTGAGGGTTTCCTCCAAGCTAGCAAACTTTTGGTCAGTCTCTCTCATAAAATTTTCTTGCCCCGGCTGAGGTGCTTGCTGTTGGCCTTGAGGTGCTTGGGGCTAATTATAGTTCCTAGATTGCTGCTGCTGATTTCCTTGCCCGTAATTCCCCTGTTGCTGCTGTACGTAGGGCTGATTGTAGTAACCCTGCCGCTGATAATACATTGCATCCACTTGCTCTACTCCAGGGGCTGCCGAGTGTGCCATCATAGTGCATTCATGTGGCGAATGGAGTCCCCCACACAAAATACAAGACGGACTAATGGGACCGGGGGCTACCATATTAACACTTGGCACCGAGAAAGCAAGATTCATCTTCTTTTGATTATCCTCCACACTGGTAGCGAGCTTCTGAATCATGCTAGTCAAAGCATCTACCCTCGCAGAAAGGGCAGAATTATCACTTATCTCATACAAACCCGGGGCCTTCTGATGAGGTCTGTCCCGAGAGCTATACCATGATGCATTATTTGAAACAATTTTCTCCACTAGTTCTTCTGCCACCTCAGATGGTAATTGAGGAAAAGCTCCACCACCTGAGGCATCCAGCATCATCTTCCCTTCGTTATTGAGCCCGTTGTAGAAGATTGATAGAACCTCACAATCACTCATCCCACCTTGAGGGAAAGCTCTTCTCAACACCTTGAACCTCTTCCATGCCTCAGCCATTGTCTCGAGGGGTCCTTGCTTGAATTCTTGCAGCTGCTTCTTCAACTTTAGTGCTTTTGATGTCGGAAAGTATTCTTTAATGAACGCCTTGTGCAATTGGTCCCAAGTCTGAATATGATGGTGAGGATTGCTGTCTAGCCACCTCTGCGCATCGTCCCTCA